GAGGCTAGCCGCTACTGCTAACGCTAGCATCTTTTAACACATAAAACAATATAAGAACAAACACTCACCCTGGCGAAGACTAAACGATGATCGTCGTGGAGACGTTGTGGACCCACCCGCTGACGAAGAAGTTATACGCCTCCATACTTTTATAGGCCTTCGTTTGCTGTTTGGTGTAACACGACTTCTGAAGGACCAGATAGTTCGTTATGTCGACGGCCTCCACCGTCGGCAAATCTTTAAGGTCCACCGAAAACTCCCTCCTCTTCATGAGGTACGGGTCACGTCCAACATATCTGTCAATCAACTCCTTGTATTTGCGTCTTGAAACAGGCTCTAACTCCAAACAATACGGGCTCTCGGTAACGGTATCCTCCATGTTTATGCTAACTTCATAGACTTCCTGCCCTCCATCTGAAATCGCGGAATCGTCACGTGACTGAAAGCCGCCTATTGAGAGTATTACTGCTGCCACCATCTCTATTAGAGGTAAATAAATGCTAGGGTGGCCTTAGGGGTGAGCAATGATTGGCTAAGGGTGGCCATGGCCACCCCTGGCCCCCCATCTAGCTCCGCCCCTGATTAGAAGCTCAGACTTTATAGATCCACATCTTGACTAGAACTCAAGCTAATCTGGACTGAATCCGTTGAAGCACGTTTGTTCCACAGAGGTTTTAGTGGGCAGACTGCTGGGAGGAAATGGGATTTTAGTGCAAAATGCATTTTTTTCAATCATAAAAGGGAATCTGATCAGGAAAATATGTTGATTTCCATTTTTGGATTGTTTCTTTGCTCCTCAGATTTAGTCGTTTCATTGAAATTTACCAATAAAATCACCAAACTGAGTAGAAAATAAGAATAACAGAGCAGCTTATGGAACGCACTTCGCTTACATCACCTGAAATAGTCGCACAATGACCTCTGACCCCTCCTTAGAAAGGTCTGACCCTCTAGTTTCCAATGATGGCAGCCATTAGGGGGCGGGGCTAAAAATGAATACCTTTTATTTGTTCACACAGCTATAAAACAAAAAGTATTAAAACTAAAATAAAATAAAACTTGTGTTACGAACTCTCCTCAAATGTCACACAAAATAATGTATTTTTCAAACTGTCCTTAAACACACCCAAAAAAAAATTTGTTTTACAAGCCGGACTTAAACGTTGCACTCAAAATATAATTTATAAATTGTCCCCAAATACAAAATGATCTCTGCTCACATATAAAACAGCCTCTCCTCGTGTATGAGACAATTCTACGGACTCCGCGGGAAGTTTCTGCCAAAAGTCATAAATGAAGAATTGTCGTTCTGAGTAACCAACAGCAGGAGGCGCCATCCAAACAAAACAACTGAAACTTGCTGGTGTCGAGGTAGTTAGCATGCTTTATGTGTGTGTGCAACATTCTGGTAGAAAAGTGACTCCATACATGTGACTGTGTTTTTGGTCATTTCTATAAACAGATAAACATCAGCAGGTGTCAGCGGGGGGATTAAGGGGTAATTGATTAATTGATTATTTTCACGGCGGGATTCTTTGGTAAATAGTTTACAGGGCCTGTCTGCAGGATTCCAGGTCCAACCCACCCGAGTCTCCGCCTCCGCATCCAGTCAATCCCTGATAACCTGATTATTGGACCAAGCGTGTTAAAGCAGAGATGCAGCCCTGAAGGACAGCAGACCAAAACCAGGCTTTGTTGGGCTGCTGGATAAAACCTGGAACTAAACGCTATTTCTGACATTTTGAATTGGTACTCCCTAGTTAGAGCGGTCTCAATGTGAACAATCTGTGTGCTGCAGCATCA